GAATCCTGAAACTTTCAATTGCATCCGACTTATTTCTCAGAAACCTCCCCCATGTAAACCTGGAAAAATCATCAACTAACACAAAAATATATTGCTTTCCAGCAATACTTTCCGGTGAGATAGGACCCATGAGGTCCGTATGAATCAGTTCTAGGATAGATTTAGAGTGAATTTGAGATACCTGTTTGTGTTGAACTTTGACTTGTTTACCTTGACAGCAAGCACCACATACAGTGTCAGAATGATCTTCAAGATTGGGAACACCTCGAACTACTTCTGCTCGCACGAGTCTTGAGAGGCCATTGGTATTCATGTGACCAAGTTTCATGTGCCATAAGTCGATCTGTGAGTCTCTTACTGACAGGCATTTTCTCGGTGGTTTCCAGAAATAGCAGTTGTTGTTTGATCAAAATCCACACATAACAAGGTTTCCTTGAGGGTCAAATGCTTGACACTCTCTGTTGTTGAAGATGACTTGCAGACCCTCATCACACAGCTGACTGATGCTAATAAGATTCGATTTGAGTCCTTCAAAAAAGTAGACGTTTCTAAGTCTTGGAAGGTCAGCTCTCTCCATATGACCAACTCCACGGATTCTACCTTCTCCACCATCACCGAATAGTACTCTTCCTTCTTTGACAGGTTCCATGATTGTCAACAACTTCTCATTTCCTGTCATATGCCTTGAGCAGCCACTATCAAAGTACCATGGTATCTCAACAACATTGTGTTCTTCTGTGGAGGTGAAAGCAACCTTGGCGAGACTTGAAGCTGGAACAATGTCTTCTTCAAAATACTCCTCAACTACCACCATATTGCACACAACTTCTTTTCCTGGTCTCTGTTGATAGACCTCTGTCTCACTCATCTTGGCAGGTGTTGGTGTTCTGTTTTTGAAGTTAGGATACAAATCTGTTTTGGCGATCCACACATGTCCGATCCGGCTTGGTTCAATAAAACATTTGTGGAGTGACCATTCTCGTTGGTATTGAGCTTTTCGAAAATAGCAGTATGCAACCCTATGTCCTTGTTTACCACAAAAGTGACATCCATTGCGCCTGTGTGGTACCTGTTTTTTTCACAGTTGTCTCAATTTTTTTCTGGGGTACAGCTTCTTTCTCTAGCTCAGTAGGTGTTTCTGGCGCTCCACTTCTAACAAACCTTACATCCGTTACATCTTTTTGCTACCTGAGCTTCGATATCCTTGATAGCCTAAACCCAAGGCAATCTTTGGGTTTTGTCCAAGTGAAAGAATGTGGTCCAAAGTATCTGATCCATTGTTGAGCATCCTCATCTTTTTGTAGTTGTCGTTCAATTCTCTTTGCAGTAACCGACTCTTCTCAAGCTCCTCACTCAGCAGCACCATAGATTGATCATACTTGGTCTCCAAATTCTTCAAGGAATGAGCCTGACCAGTAACGGTTCTTCAAGAAATTGTATATTAGGACTCTTCTCACTTTCCAAGATACCAGCTGCAGTCTTTCCTTCAGTACTGGGTATGTCAAGTTCAAGAATGTTGACTTGTTTCTTGAGCATTGCTTTGTCTTTGATCAACTGCAAATTTTTCAAGACTTAGCTCTGTAAATTTGTCAAAGAGACTCTTAAACTCTGACTTCAGATCCAAGTCTTTCTTCTCGTCTTCATTATCTGAATCTGAGTCTGAACTTGAAGATATATCTTGAGTGTCATATTTTTCCACACGAGCAACAAAATTAAGCATTAATTCTTCATCATCACTCTCGCTTTCTGATTCGGTATCACTGAACGACACGAGAGCTTTATCTTTCTTCAGATTGTTAGGACACTCACTCCTTGTATGTCCATAACCTTTACACTTAATGCACTTAAGCTCTTTTCTCTTGGCTAGAGGACACTCGCTCCAAAATTGACCAAAACCTTCACATTAATGACATTTTAAGTCTTTCTTGCGATTTCCCTTCCAGATTCACTTATGTTTTGCTGTCCAGAGGAACGATCTCCTTCTCTTCCTTGAAACCGGTTGTTATTACGATAGTTCCCCTTTTCAACTCTTTTGATCATCTTGTTGAAATTATTAGCCATAAGACTCATGTTCTCTTCAATACGCTTCATCCTATCTTCTTCTTTGGTTTCTGCTGTGAAAGCAATTCCTTTTTGTCCCTTAGTTGTCTCTTCACTTCGTTCCAAATCATGCACCTTCAGAATTCCAGCCAACTGATCAAACTTCATTTCATCAGTATTCACAGCAATCTTAAGAACCGCCTTGTATGCTTCAAATCTAGGAGGGAGACATCGCAATAGTTTCTTCACAAGTTTCTTCTCATTATACTTCTTTCCCAAGACAGAAGCGTCATTAGCTATAGAGATGATTTTGGAAATGAAACTTCCTATCGATTCATCATCCTCCATTCTCAGGTTCTCAAACCTTGAGGCGAGATGATCGATTCTGGTCCTTCTTACATTTTTGTTTCCCTCAAAGTGATTGATAAGAGTATCCCATGCTTCTTTAGCAGATTCACATCCTTGAATGATCTTAAACTGATCAAGATCAACAGCAGAAAAGATTGAAGTGAGTGCCTTTGAGTTGAATTTTGACGTAGCTTTATCAGAGTCAGTCCATCTCTCCTTTGGCATGGGTGCTATATACTTGTCTTCCATTACCATAGTAGGTGCAGTCCATCCTTGTTCAACAGCAGTCCAAGAATCCTCATCAATAGCCCGTATGATGTGCCGCATCCTTGCTTTCCAGTGTCCAAAGTTTCCTTCATCGAGCATGATTGGCTTTTGCAAAGCCACGAGTTCTTTCATGGTTTCCATGACTGTCGCAGGATCTCAACCTGTGAGTGGACGTGCGAGTCTACGGAGGTGACCTGCTCTGATACCAAATGAAATTTCGTATGGATACCACAATAGAAAAACTTGAACAAATTCAAGAAAACTAACTTGCTTTATTAAGAATCACTTAAACAATCTCACTAGATCTGTTTAATCCGATTTACCAAACGTCACAGCTTGACTTGAGACGGACCAATTCTTAATCTACCCAATGCACAGTGGTCGAGGCAGACCTCACCACTTGCTTACACAGAATCGCAGCTTAGAACACTGAAGCTCGATAATCCCCAAAAATCTCAAAAGCCGTAACCTAGCTAATGAACTCTATCACCAATATATACTCGCGTATCCTATTGTGATAAGCAAAGATTCTCCCAGTATCTTCTCGTTTGTTGCCTAACAAACATCCTAGAATCTTGGGTCATTAACTTCCAAACGGCTCTGTTGTATTTCGCTCCATGTGTAACACACGCTCTTCTTTGTGTGACACATCAGCCTTACGCTCAAACACCTTTGAGCTACCTTGTGTGTAACACAACCTCCTGTCTGTGTGACACACACCAATCATCATGCTCAGAATCCTGAGCTTACAAACTTCACAAAATTTCCAAGCTAGAATTAAGCTCTGAAAGTTTGATTAAACGCTGTGTTTTACAGACCTGACGATGAAGCTGATGTGAACACCGAGATTGCTATGAACAGCTGAGCAATCGATGTAGAGAAAGACGCCGTAAGTAACTGATTTAAATATGGATCTCAGGATTAAGTTTAAATATGGATTTCAGGATTTGTATCAGAAGTCGTGACTTAAGTAGGAAGACAACAAGTTTGTAATAGTAGATGATTTGCTTTTGTGATTTCTGAGTGAGTAGTTTAGATCATAAAATCCTAGAGCGTTGTTATGTAATAACAAATCTGTTATTAGGAGTTGGCTTTTTTTTGTTTGTTCTTTTTTCATGGCTCATAAGCTGCTGGATTTGATCTAGTGATCCATTTTGTTGTTAACCAATCTTATATATTAAAATAGAAGTCATGACTTTTAAATTTTGGACATATTCCTAAAAAGGAGAGTTACATTACATTTTCAATCATTGATAATCTTGATATTAAATAAGAGATATTATTACTATAATCTGCTTTGTTCCGTTAACGATCAGAACTAACTTATCTCACGGTTATGTTTTAAGAAAACTACTATTCCTTTTGGTTTAACACCAATTTGTATGATTAACATATATTACTATTTCTTTTTCTTGGATGACACATATATTACTTTTATCATACCCATATCAATGATAAAATAAAACCATTTTACGAAAACATATGAAAAAATCAAGATTACTTTTGTTTTTCAGTATGAATACTTGATAATATAAATCTATGAAGCTACAAGTTTATTTTTTTTTAAAAAAATTTAAATTTGTAAAATGTTACAATATCTTTGAATATGACAATAAAAAAATATTTTACCAATCTTTATATATATAGTAACGATTTCAATAATAAAATAATAATCCAAAAATATATATATAAGAATATACAAATACATGTGAAAGTTTCAAACAATTTATTCAATAAAAATATACAATAAAATTATTATGATTTAAAAATTGATAGGCATACTTCATATATATTATAATATATACCAATTCAGAATTGAAAATAAAATATTTATAAAAAAAATAAATGAAAACAGAAATCCGCGCGGTTGTGCGGGACGAAATTTAGTTCTAGAATTAAGGTTAATCACATTCAAGACAGGTTTCTAATACCATTAATGTGGGTTTTATGAAAATTATTTCTTAAACTTTGGTCAATTTTAAATTCTCAATAAGTAATTGAATATTATTTTTATTTTTACATTATTCATTGCTGTAAAAATTGGGATTCTTACATTCCAGGCTTTCCAGTTTCCAGCCCACCTTTAAAATAAACAGAGTGTAATTAGGTTTTAATCGCTACTCTATAACTAACTAACGATCTTTCTCTTTTCCAATCTCTAGAGCTTCATAGTTTTCTTTTCGGAGGCCATGAAAGCTGCAAAACTAAGAACAAAAGATGTTACATTGTCGGATATGATCAGTCACTTACCTGATGATTTGCTCTTCAGAATCCTCTCATTAATCCCAATAAGCGATGCCATGCATACAAGCTTACTCTCTTAACGATGGAAATATGTGTGGAAGATGATGCCAACGCTTGAGTACGATGAAAGTTCTTGTCCCAACATTGGTTCCCTTGGATTTAATAAATTTTGTAAGAGGTCGTTACAGTTACATGAAGCTCCGGTTCTCAAAACCCTAATTATAAAACTGAACCAACGGAAATCTCTGAAACTCCCAAGTAGTTTCCCAAGTACATTCTTCCGAAAAATCGTCGTTCTGAAAGTCCACAAGATTACTCCCTACTTTGCTGATTCACAACCATCAACGGTTTGCTTCCAGTCCTTGAAAAGTTTGCACCTCACAAGTGTTATTTTCAATGGGGAAGAACCTTTCTGCAGGCTAATATCGGCTTGTCCTGTTCTTGAAGATCTTTTCTTGAATAGTGTTACCAGTTCATTCAAGTTTTTCGCGCCTTCTCTTTTCACCATATCGGTCCCTTCTCTACAGAGACTCGAGATAAAAGAAAAAGATAATACTCCCATGGTTTGCAGTACTTGCCCTCGCTATGACTCTCGATTCACAATAAACACTCCTTCTTTGAAGTACTTCAACTTATCGATTCAAGATTTCGTTGGCCGTTTCGAGCTTGAAGATATGCCTAATTTGGTGGAGGCTCGTCTCGGTGTTGATCCTTATAAAACTTACAATTTTCTTAAATTATCTCTTTCCTCAGTCCAGATTCTTTCCGTGCATATATGTGCTACTGAGGTAACTCCCACATTTTGCAAGCAAGCCCAATTTTCAATAAAGCTTTTTGCAATACAACAACTCCCTCCTGTTTTATTTGGAACTCTGTTTTGGTAACCCTTGTGAATGTTGTAACATACAGGTTCTGCTTCTTGCTGAGAAAATCTCTCAGCGGCTTCTTCATCTGGAATTGTATATATACGGAAAAATACTGCGTAATCTGCTTTTGCATTTGCTCAAACATGCCCCTAAACTACAATTTCTCAAGGTTCGGGAGACACATATGACTATGACTTGGCCTATTTATCCGGATACGTTGGCTCGTGTCCGAGAGTTCAATGATCCACTACCTTCAATAGCTACCCCGAGCTCTGTTCCAGAATGTGTGTCCTTCCATCTCAAAACTTTCCATTGGTTTGGCTACGAAGGAAGAGATGAAGAGAAAGAAATCGTTCTTTACATCTTGCAGAACGCTCAATGTTTAAAAACCGCAGTGATCTCTGTGTTTGCAACTGGTTCTCCAGGTGGGGAGAAAGAACTACTGATGATCAAGGAGTTGGAATCTATGCCTAAAATTTCAACTTTTTGCAAGCTTATTGTTCGACATAGGTAATTTTGTTAACGTGTACTGGAAAATTTGTTTTAAGCCTCACTTAAAACTACATTTTGATGCGACTCAAAGGATGCAATGTTCTTTTTATGTGAAGCTAGATTTTTACTTAATTCTTGTTGGAGTTCATGTGAAGCTGGATTTTTACTTAATTCTTATTGGAGTTTGTTTCCTTCGTTAAAAGAAATAATAAGGTCTTTGGTTCTAAGATAATCTTGAGTCTTGCCTTGTTCATGGCCGAACCTTTCGTAAATGTGAGAGTTGTCTACTAAAAGAACTAGAACTCAAAGTAATACAAGAATAATTCTTTCCAGCAAATGCGATTAAATTAATTATTTTAAACTACATACAAGTTTTTTCTATAAGCATTTTTTCAAACAAGTTCAAGATAAACATTGAGCCACTCTAGTTTCCAATCTGTAGTGTTTTGTTCTCCTAATTTGAACATACAAAATTTTCTATGCTACAAGCTGTTTCTATGTGTTAACCGGCAAAGACAATGCCAACACCGTTTTTATTATTTAGAGGAAAAACTCTATACCTATTGATCTACTTAGTGGAAACTTTCCATTTCCCTTTCTTCAAGCATAAGTCAATTGTCCTTATCACATAAGATCGATTCCTTTCTTCTCCAATACTTCACTTAAGTCGACTCTTTAATAAACTTTCCTTTGATGTTCACTGATTGACCGGCACTCCACTCAACTTCATAACTTATGCTATCTCTATGTTGTAATTAATGTCGCATTTCATGAATTATTTCAACTATGCTCTGAGCATACATCTTCCCAGTTAAATAGAAAAAGAAAGACTTGTGATTTTTCCCAACAACAAACACAAAAAAACAGAGGAAAAAATAAAAAAAGTCGATGGTGTCCTGTTCTTGAAGATCTCTTCATCAAACAACCTTAACATGCTGATAAGCTTTGAACCATATCACTCCATTCCTTACAGAGATTAGTCCTCATTAATCAAGAAGGTTCTACATCACAGATCACGAGCTGAAAAGCACTAATCTGAATATTTTTCTCCGGTGGATGTCAATTATTGTGGCTAAGCACCGATTTTAGATAATATGTCATATTTTCTTTGGATTAGTTAGTAATATGTTTGAATTAAAAAATATATATATCTTTGAATTTATTATATTAGAAAATTAAACACTTTTTGATTTTACAAAATAAAAAATGGCAAAATAAAACTAATATAAAAATATATATTATATAAAAATATTTATGAGGTTTTCGTTTGGTTATATTTTAAGCTCATAGATGAATATTTTTTTTTATCTGAAATATATTTATCAAATATTATTATAATTTTTAAATCATAGATAATTCTAAAATATATATTTTCTCAAATCTGAAATATAAACATGAAAGAGGGAAGATGTTTTTTTTTTTTTTTGACATCTTAAGTTTTATTATTAAAAGCCCAAATTACAAGGGCAAAGCCCAAACAAAAACAACAAGACCCAAAGTCTAAAAGGGCATTAAACCGAAAGCCCATCACAAGCCCAAAAAACAAAAGGGGCAAAACCATAATCTTTGCCAAAAGACAGCCTTACACAGCCGCTACAATTTCACGCCGCCGGAAGAGAAACCAGAAAACCGATCGACCAGGACCACCTACGTCAACAACGCATACACCTTCATCACCAAAGCTTCTTCTCACAGAGAGCATCAATCGAACAATGTCGAGATCTCATCTTAAACACGAAGCCACCATACATCATACACGGAGATCTTGTTTTACGGAGAGCTTCAATCGATCGAAATCGAGATCTCATCCAAGCACCAACCACCCACACACGAAAACTTGACTATCACATAGATCTAGAAATCCCAAGGAGACATAAAAGCCAACGGCCACTGCTGAGGAAGACGGCATAGCTCCGGAGACAAAAACAACTTTAGCCGACGATAATGATGCTAATCGGAGCCACCACTTTCCGGAGACAATAACTAAGCTTTAGCCGGTGATAATGATGCTAATCAGAACCATCACTTCCCGGAGACAAATAACTGGCCGTCCAACGCCGGAGGAAAAGGCAAGGACTCCCGAGACAGATAGGGGCGATCTCCTACACTCTCAAAACTATTGCTAACATTTCAAGAGAGGAAGAGGAAACGAGAGAGAATTCTCTCTCTAGGAGAGAATGAGAGTGAAACGCCTCAAAGAAGAAAAGATGTTTTCTTATTTATTTTCTATAAGCACCATTTTTATTATAAATAAAGTTTTCTTTAATGATTTCAATAAGATAATAATTAGGGCAGTGTCAGAAAAACAAATCAGGGCAATAATCAATTAACTGACACATATAACAATCATATTAATTACAGTCTATCAAGTGTATGATATGAATAGAGATAGGTATATAATTAGAACAAATTTGTGCGTTTTGGTTTTATTTTCTCGTGAACGACCTATATTCTAAAGAAAAATTGTCATTCTAGGGCAGTTTTATGTTTTAAATGTCATAGAAAGGCAGTTTCTACTACATACACACTTTCTCTTAACTATCTCCCCTCCCTTTCGTTACCCTAAACAACATAGTTACTAATCAATTAACTACAGACTTTGTTTAAGCGGGAAAAAACCTCAACCCTTGATCTGTATCCTATCCAACGCCTAATACTAATCCTCACCATTGATGATTAGACAGATATCTGCCACTATTATAGACCCTTGGATTAGATGCCCTTTTTTTTCAACGGTCCCGATTTTATGTGTTTCATAAACACTTCTTCCCTTCTCCTTTTCCAATTTCCTACGGATCTTCTTGTCAATCTTCATCAGCTCCAATTAACAAGAACAAAACAAAGGTTTGTCTTCTAATATACAATTAACATCATCGACCATCCATTAATCTTTGTATTATCATTTCTCAGTTCACCATGGTTGACCATTGCATGGTCATTCCCGGTCAATGGACCACCACCGGCTCTCTCTGGGAATTTGATATTGATAAAAAAAAGATGTCTCGGATCGTCCCTCTTCTTGCTGGTATGACTTTGGCTCAACTACAAGACAACGTCTCAAACGAGTTCTTCTCTTTTACGTCCCCTGCTCCGCCATCCGTTTTGAGTTACTGGCCTCCAAATACAAAAGAGCTCGCGACGGGACTTACAACTCCTCCGGTTTTATTGACCAACGACGGTGCTGTCTCATATTTCTTCAACCACCTCAAAGTTCACAAGACCATGAATCTCTTCGTCACCTTTGATACAAAAGAAGACCAACCCAACCTTACCCCTCCCCCCCTGCATTCTATCCGATTCTCCACACCTAACCAACCTATGAAGCCTAACTTCTGCTCATTTCGCCCCTGTTCCACCGGTTCCTCTAAAAACCCCTTCTCCCTGTTTGATGATGATGATCTACTAGAAGACATACCCCTCCACAATGGTAAGGAGAATACCGTTCTTCATTCACCCGACCCATGTCCTTCTACCCAAAGGTCTAAATCTAACCGAGTATCCATTGATGACGCCACTATTTCATGTGGCGATGAAATGCTTCAAGAGATGTTTAAGGAGGACCCCGACAACATCCCTGATACATGGATTCTTGACGATGAAGAGGACACTGTNTACCCCTCCACAATGGTAAGGAGAATACCGTTCTTCATTCACCCGACCCATGTCCTTCTACCCAAAGGTCTAAATCTAACCGAGTATCCATTGATGACGCCACTATTTCATGTGGCGATGAAATGCTTCAAGAGATGTTTAAGGAGGACCCCGACAACATCCCTGATACATGGATTCTTGACGATGAAGAGGACACTGTCACTGAGGATTCCCAACCACCAGACATTGAACATGTCCCGATTCGTGGGTACGACCATGATTTCTGGGATCCTTTGTTGGACGACACCCTTGGTTGATCCGATGCACCGGAGATCATGGCCGGTATTCATGTTCCCAAAACAGCCCCAGAGACCTACGCTTGCTCCACAGGTGATGCCTTCGGTCATAATGTTCGTGTTTCAGGCGAAGATGATACAGATTGGAAGAAGGACCTCGATTTCCTAGGTGTACATCAGAAGGAAGGCCCACCGGTACAAGCCGGATCTGCGTACACGCGTACACCAAATAAAGATGTGCGCACGCCATATACATAGGTCTGGGCATTTTACCCGGACCCGAAGACCCGACCCGGAACCGGTCCGAAAATGTGCGGTTCGGGTAGAAACCGAACTGATCATTTTACTCTATTGGGTCTTGATGTGGAGGACCCGCGGGTCTTGGACCCGAACCGACCCGAATCCGAGACCCGATGGGGTACCCGAAATATCCAAAACATCTAGTATATATTATGTATATATATATGTTTTAGTATTTTTATGGTATTATGAGTATTATTTTATGTTTTGGATTTAGGTTTTCGGATATAATTACGGGTTTTAAGTAAAATTTTAGGTTTTTTTAAAATATAATTCGAATAATCAGATAAAATTTTGGATATTTTTATGTATTCGGGTTAGGTTTTGTGTAAAATTTTGGGTATTTCTTGGGTATTTAAATATTTTCCAGTATTTTTTGTGTGTTTTAGGTATTTTTTTGGGTCATACCCGGTAGGACCCGAACCGAACCCGACCCGAAACCGAACCGAATCCGAACCAATAAATTTTAATTTCCCCATTGGGTCTAACTATATAAGACCCGAACCGACCTGGACCCGGTAGGACCCGAACCGAACCCGGACCGACAAAGTCTAATTACCCTATTGGGTCTAAATATCTAAGACCCGAAGGACCCGGACCCGACATAACCCGACCCGAACCCGATCCGAATCGGAAAATGCCCAGGCCTACATATACAAGTGGACAAACGGGCTCGTCCACACGTACACCTAAATCTGCACTTAAAACACCGTTTAATGGTGTACACACTGATTCTTCGTCCACTCGTACACCCGACGGCCGTCCTTTTACTCGTACACCGACAACACCAACCTCTCACCCACCTCGTCCTGCTACCCCACCAGCACGGAAAACC